TTCTGCCCATTTTTAATTGGAGTTTTTGGTGTTTTTTGTTTTGTTTTTAAAATTTTTTTTTTCAACGTTTATTTATTTTTGGGACAGAGAGAGACAGAGCATGAACGGGGGAGGGGCAGAGAGAGAGGGAGACACAGAATCGGAAACAGGCTCCAGGCTCCGAGCCATCAGCCCAGAGCCTGACGCGGGGCTCGAACTCACGGACCGCGAGATCGTGACCTGGCTGAAGTCGGACGCTTAACCGACTGCGCCACCCAGGCGCCCGTTTTGTTTTTTAGGGAGTATGTGCATGTGTGCATGTGTGAGGGCGGGTGGTGTGGGTAGAGGGAAAGGGAGAGAGAGAATCTTAAGCAGGCTCCACCCCAGTGCACAGCCTGACTCGGGGCTCCATTTCACAACTCTGAGATCATGACCTAAGTTAAAATCAAGAATTGGACGTTTAACCAACTGAGTCACTCAGGTGCCCTGGATTATTTGTGAGGTTTTTTGATGTTGAGTCGCATAAGTTCTTTATATATTTGTATACTAACCCCTTATGGGATATGCCATTTGCAAATATCTTCTCCCATTCTGTAGGTTTTTTTGTTTTGTCAAGTGTTTCCTTTGCTGTGCAGAAGCTTTTAATTTTGATGTAGTCCCAATAGTTTACTTTTGCTTTTGTTTCCTTTGCCTCAGGAGACATATCTAGAAAAATGTTATGGCTGATGTCAGAAAAATCACTGCCTGTGCTCTCTTCCAGGATTTTTGTGGTTTCAGGTCTCACTCACTTCCATGGTTTTAACAGACTTGCGTGGCTCCTTCTCCATTGCTCAGTTTTAGGCTTGTCTGTGGACGAGTTATAGGGAATTGAGGTCATGTTGACACCATGCATATGCAATTTTCCCCTTCCCAGCCCCCCAAAGTGGTTAGACCATCAGTCGGGGAACATCAATATTCTGTTTATTTTAAGCTAAGCTACATAGTAAAACTATGATTGCTTGTCCTTTTACATAGATTTTTGTTTTCTTTTCCTTGGAATTAATTTTTTTTTGTTGTTTAGTTTTCTATATAGCATCACCTATTCAGCCAGCCCCAAACTCTATCAGATGTTCAAATCGATCCCTATGACATCAAGGTGCCTCAGGTAACCTATCAGTTAGATCTTCCTGAAGCCTTTCCGAGAGGCTCTGGCCTCAAATCTGGACTGATGACCTGATGTGCCATTCAACAAACCTTTATTGAGTCAAACACATGCTGTGCATTGCTTTAGGCCTGGCAAAATAAACTGATCAGGCAGTGCTGATTCCTGCCTTCCCAGAGCTTACTATTTAGTAGATGATTCAGGAAACAAACTCTGTGCCCATTGTTTTCTATTCCTGGTTATTTTCTGGGGTCTGGAGCTAAAGCCTGCCTGTCAAAACATAGCACCAGGTGTGTGTCTCCTGAGTATGTCTCTTGCTCACCAGTTTCCTCCCTCCCAAAGCTCTCAGCTTCTAAGTTAGGGATCAACAGTGGGAACTATATGAACACATTCCCACCTTTTCTCAACTGGTCCCTGTCTCATTAAATGAAGCCAGAGTGGGCATTTAAAAAAAAAAAAAAAGTTTACTTATTTTGAGAGAGAGACAGAGTATGAGCAGGGGAGAGGCAGAGAGAGAAAAGAGAGAGAATTCCAAGCAGGCTCTATGTTGTCAGCACAGAGACCAACGTGGTGCTAATTCTCATGAACTGTGAGATCATGACCTGAGCCGAAATCAAGAGTCAGACACTTGGGGTACCTGGGTGGCTCAGTTGGTTAAGCATCCGACTTCGGCTCAGGTCATCTCACGGTTTGTGGGTTCAAGCCCTGTGTCGGGCTCCGTGCTGACAGCTCAGAGCCTGGAGCCTGCTTCAGATTCTGTGTCTCCCTCTCTCTCTTCCCCTCCCCCATTCATGCTCTGTTTCTGTCTCAAAAATAAATAAACATAAAAAATTTTTTAAAAAAGAGTCAGACACTTAACTGACTGAGCCACCCAGGTGTTCCATAGAGTGGGCATTTTTTAGTCTAGCTCCATCTGCCCCATGGCTAGTTGAGGTTCTGGACTTAGATCCTATTGTTAAACTGTCTTGTGTGGGGAGCAGTGGATGAGGCTGGATGAACTGTGGTTCACAGAGATGAGAATGGGTCAGGGATCCTAGGAATATGTGAATCTAGCCATGCCTCCCTGGAGATATGCTGGACCCCAAACCCCATGCATAGCAATAAGACTACCCGGAGTAAAGGCACCAACATCAAAGCCTCAGAGCAAACAAGTCCAGGGACAGAGAGTGAGAAATACACCACACACACAGGGAAGGAGACAGGGGGGAATTTGCTCCAGTGTTTAAGGAGGAGTTGGCTTGGATTATCTGGTATTTTTTTGCCAACTATGGCTCTCCGAAAGATGCAGAAGAGAGCCGATAGGGCTAGGGCCAAGGACCAAGAAAATGAAGCACCCACACCTATGTACCTTGTGACTGTAATACCCTTAACATGTAGCCCAGTCATATTTCGAAAATGACCCTGCCTTGGGGGTGGTAGTAAGTTTTCTTAGACCAGGAACTTCATCGGGGCAGTTGCCAAGGGGCAAGACTTATGGAGATAAGTCTAGAGTGCCCCCTAGAGGCCAATAATGTTAGCTTTAATTTTTGATAGTATTCAGAACCACTCTGCAACTCCAGAATACCACCAGTATTCATGAGTATTTAGCGAGAAATTTGGAAACTGTTATAAGTGAGGCTTCACAGCCAGTAAAAATAAAACTAACACTGTAGATTAAAATCACCCAAACACCCCAACAGGTAAAGATGAAGATCACGTTAACAGTTCAGGGTGGCCTAACTCTTTAATGACTGGCCAGAACAATCATTTGGGACACAAAAATGCATTGTGACTTATAGGTAAAACATTCTGCCTTCTTCATACACTCTGTCACCCCACACTGCATGTGCTGATGGTCATGGGAGGCCTCTGCTTGGGGAGGGCAGCAACAGAAGGTGCCCTCAGAGAAGAGAAGTGGCTGAGGAGGCTTACCCTCTAGGAGGAAGGAGGGCAAGTGGGTTCTCAGGTTAGGTGTGAACCAGATCTAGGAAGAAGCAATTCAAGAATGAATCCCCATGACAGGTCAGAGGTGGGGCATAGGTTCAACCTGGGCCTTGCCTTCTTGTACCTATGCAAGAAGAAAAAACAAAACAAGAGGCTCAATGTCCTCCCAGGCATGGGAAAAAAAGCACTTTCAGAACAAGTTCCTGGTATGGGGACTGGGGTATGGGTAGCTGGTGGAGGGTAGGAGCAGAGCATAGCCATAGTGTGGCAGCACAAAGTAGTGACTCTGGCCTCTACCAGTGACTGTGGCCTCTACCAGGTGCTCAGCCTGTACTGATGAAGGCAGAATGGCGGGGGTAGGGGGAAACCACCCTGAGCTCTGGGGGCAGAACAGATGCTGGGATAGGCACCAGGATTACCTATGAGGCCAATGCTTGGGTTCTGCAGGCAGCACTCAGCCAAGGAAAACTGCACTGGGAGAACTCTCAGCACCCCTGCCCCATGCAGGGCTTTGATTTTGCACCCTGACCATGCAGGGCCTGGTGGCTTGGGAACTACCGTTTTAATGTGGAAAGCAAGTCTGTGGAATCTAGTGGAGATGCTAATAGGCTCTCCCCAGGGCACTTGTGGTAGCATTTCCAAGCAGGTGTGTTCTGGGGCTGGGGCTGGCGGCAGGGGGTGAGGAGCTGGTGGCCAGCTGCCACCAGTGGCTTCCCAGGCCCTGAACCTAAATACTTTGGGAAGGTACCTGGATGACACAGCTTGAGGCCGTAAGAGAATCCCACTCATTATTTCTAAGCAGGCTCCATCCTGCCCAGTTTCCCTGCAGACCCAGGTTTCTAGGCAACGATCACTTTCTGTTTGTATTCTGAATAATAACTTCCAACAAGACATAAAACAGTCATAATATTTGAGGGCTGAAAGGGGGCTGGGAGGTTATTAACCCTCTCATTTTACAGGTAAACTGGCCCAGAGAGCTTAATTACCTTGAGCCTTCTTCATCGCCTCCTTCTGGGTTAGGAAGGGAGCCTTGGAGGCACCAGTTGAGCTGTGCTTGGTGGCAGGGTCTGCTCTTTACCTCGGCTTTGGCGGCAGCTGGCTCCTTACTGCCCTGCTGGGACTTCCCTGAACTTAGAATGAGGCCGATTAGTACCTTCTCCCCCTCAACTCTGGGCCTTAGCTGTAATTCCAGGCCATAGGATTAATTAAATGCTTTATGTACATTACCACACTTATTAACTCATGCTTTTCAGAAGTGGTGAACCAGGTTATAAACGTTGGTTCCACGTGTGATGATAAATGATCTGAGGCTTCAATCCTGAAAAGAGGGTGGCTGGAGCTGGAGGGAAAATCCACCAAAGGCTAGAGGCCCCTGGGAAGCCGGAGTGAGGCTACGAGGTGGCTTTGGACCTGAGGTGCCTGGTCTGCTGGGAGTGTCTGGGCATGTCCAACAGGTACCCTAACCAGACACCCTCTCCACAAAGCCCACGGCAGAGTCTTGTCACATCCTGCTGTGTGTGTAAAGAAAGGCCACATTTCATTCCCGCAGTCTATCTCCCTTGACTGATGCTTTTAGATCGAGACCCCCATCTACCCCAGGAGAGACACTGCATAGCTCCCTGCACATCTCTAGATGGTAAAGAAATGACTCTTCGCTGCTTGCTTTACTATGACTCAATCAGAAGTTATTTATTTTCTAAAAGTACAAAAACACATACAAAAGGGGACTCATTCCTGGCTAGAATTCAGAAATGATACCATTGTGACAAACATCCCTGTGGCAAGCTCGCAGCGGACAAAGTATTGCTCCCAAACCATTCATAATCCTACTCACCATTGTTACTACTTCTAAATTACACATGGAAAAAGAGTTAAGTTTTATTAAACCAGACTCATAAAAGTAAGGATTGTGCTTCTCCAGGGTGACAAAATATAATTCCAGGAAAATATTCTTATGTCAGTTCCAGGGAACTTTTCTCCCCAAGAGCTGATTGGTCACTTTCTGTGGAAGAAAAGAAAGAGAAGTTAGATACTCTTGCCATCAGAGGCAGACAGCCACCCCAGACATGTTGCTCTGAGAGACCAGTGAGGTTCTACCCAAATCACATTTATCTTCCCCAGCTACAGAAACTATGGTAATTATGCAAAAAAAATTTTTCCTGAAGTGTTAAGGAAACATGATGTATATAATCAGTATCTATTATGTCTATATAGATACAGATCATTTATGATCTGGATAGACTTATCCATCCATCAGTTCAAACATACAAGTACAATGAGAGGCCTGGCCTGTGCCGCTGACACACTGGCCGGGCCATGCGGTGCCTGGGGCCCCCCTCCTCGAGGGGACCGGCCCGGCCCAGCTCCAGGTATGCTCCAGAAGCAGTTCTCCAATCCCACATCGGTCTGGCATAAACTCGTCTTTTGGATTCTGACTTTCAGAGTCCTCTGGTGTGAAGTGAAGGGGTTGGGAAGGACATGAGAATAGTGAAGGATACAGACCTTCGGGCACGGTAGCTCCCTAGCTTCTCATGGAATATATTGGTAGCAAGTCCCCCCGCCTCTGAGGGTCTGGGATTTGCATTACCACTGATTCCACTGGGGCCATGGGCAGGAAATGGTGGTGGCTTCCAGGCTCCGACTCCCCAAGTTGTCAACTCTTATACCACACTTGGACATTTTCAGTTTATTTTACAAGCTTTAGAGGTATCTGATTTACCAATAAGGGGCACAAAACTACCACTGGGGACTCTAAAATGAAAATTCAACAATACTGATAGATTTGGACATTTCCACCATTAGTCCTAAGTATGGAATTTAGTTTCATTCCAAATGTATGCCTGGAAGGTGCCTCTTTTAGATTTGCCTTTTTAGATTTTTAGATTTGAAATCTAGTCACAGATGCCTTTGCCTTCCAAACCTCAGCAGTGGTACAATACATTACAAGCTTAAGGCTGCTCCCCAGATGTAGTTAATTCAAACAGGTCAGATGTGTTTCCCTCAATTTCTCTTTCCCCTGATAAACCTGATGGATGCTGCTCAAGGACTGACTGACCTTCTTGAATAGCTGAGCTCGTAGCCGGTATGACTTATATTCCAATCTTCTCTTCTCTTCTTCTCTCTTTCTCTGCACTTCTGGAAGCTGCTCATAAATCCTTAGGAATGGTGCCAGTGGGAAGACAAAAAGCAGTGAGGTTACCCGACCATGGAGGGACATGATCTCTTCTCCCCCATCTCCCTAAGTTCTGCTGCTTCCAGGGCATTTGGCCTTGTGGGCCTGCTTCCTGTTAGACACCTGGACACGAAGAACCCTGGCTAGGGGTGCTCATGATCTGGTAGGGGAAAAGATGAATAAAAACATTAAGAAATCCTGCTTATAGGGGCTACTTGTTCTTGAGAAAGGAGTGGGATGAAAGGGTGGAGATGATAGCTTTTTACTCTATATGCAAAAGTGTACATTTTCGATATGAGATAACAAACATGTACTAACTAGTATATTTTTAAACACACAGGAAATAATGGGAAAGAAAAGTACAATAATGGTCCCATGTACAAAATGTTACACAGAGTTCCAAGAAATGAAAGGCGGGTCTTAAAGATAGCAGAGGGAGGACAAGAGAAGGGAATACTGGTAAGGAGTCAAGGCCTCACAGAGAGGTGTGTAGGGGAGCAGATGGGAATCAGGCGAGGTGAAGGGGAGGTGGGCTGTGGAGGCCACGTAGCCATGTGAAAACCTTGGGCTCTGTCCTATCAGGGACTGGGTGCCACTGATTTTAAGTTTTATTTATTTATTTTGAGAAAGAGTGAGGACAGGGGAGGGGCAGAGAGAGAGGGAGAGAGAGAATCCCAAGCAGGGTCTATGCTGTCAGTGCAGAGCCTGGTGTGGGGCTCGATCCCACGAACCATAAGATCATGACCTGAGCTAAAATCAAGAGTCAGACACTTAACCGACTCTGCCACCCAGGTGCTCCTGGGTTCCACTGATTTTAAGTAGGGAGGAACATGATCGAACATGCATTTGATAAATATGCTCTAACTGGAAATAATGTGAATTTGTAACAAAAGAACAGTTAAACAGATTATGGAATATAATGAAATTATTACAAAGCATAAAAAAGATGTTTCAAAAAATTTAATAATATGGGAATATGTTCACAATTTGATGCTTTACAAAACAAAGTAGATTACAAACCTGTATATATTGTATGATCGACAATTTGAGAAAAAAACAAGTGTGTTAATACGGGTTTCTGCAAAACCCCCACTCCTGCCAAGAAAGAGGACTAGTGTCAGTTCAGTTTAGATGGAAGGATTATCAGCGATATTTATTTCCTTCTTTCTAATTTTCTCGATACTTTCCTAAGTTTCCTATAATTTGAAAAAATATCATTGCAAATGATGTAGAGGCTTTGTGGAAAGCAAGTGAGAAAAAATCAAGAGCAGAACTAGGAAGAACAGCAGTCCCCTGAGAGCGGAGGCCAGAGCAGGTCCCAGAGCAACAAGAGCCAGGTCTCTAGGATGTGCAAACAGGCTACATGTGGAGCAGTGGGTAACACAGCTAGCAGTGACTGCTAGCCAGCTTTCTAGTTGGATGAGTGGCTGGCCCAAGCAAGTGTGGGAGTGGAGAATGGGGAGGTCTGTTTTGGATGTGGTGGAGATGATCACTAACTGCAAACACAGTAGTGGAGGGCAGGAATGAGACCAAAGAGGAACAAACATACATTTTTAAAAGTCACTGTTGATGAAAACCACAATGTGATATCTCCTCACACCTGTTAGAATAGTTATTATATATATAAAACAACAACAACAACAACAAGAGATAACACATGTTGGTGAGGATGCAGAGAAAAGGGAACCCTTGTGCACTGCTGGTGGGAATGTAAATTGGTACAGCCAGTATGGGAAACAGTATGGTGGTTCCTTAAACAATTAAAAATACAACGACCATAAGCAACCTAAGTGTCCATCAACAGATGAATGGATAAAGAAAATGTAATATATTATTATATTATTATTCAGTCATAAAAAAGAAGGAAATTTTTCCATCTGCAACAACACAGATGGACCTTGAGGACATTATGTTAAGTGAAATAAGTCAGAGAAAGACAAAACTGTATGATCTCATTTAACATGTGGAATCTAAAAACATCAAACTCATTGAAATAGAGACTAGGATGATGGTTGCCAGGGGCTGGGGGCCAGGGAATGAGGAGATGTTAGTTAAAGGGTAAAAACTTCCAGTTATAAGAGGAATAAGTTCTGGGGATCTAAGGTACAGCAGAGGGGCTCAGTCAGGAACACTGTATTGGATACTTCAACACTGCTCTGAGAGAAGACCTTTAATGTTCTCACCAGAACAATAAGAACACTGCCACCACCACCACCACCGAAATAGAAAGAATATGAGGTGGAGGATGTGTTAACCAACCTTAGCGTAGTGAACATACTGCCGTATATACATGTGTCAAATCATCACGTTATATACCTTAAACTTATACAATGCTATATGTCAATTAAATCCATGGCATTCTCATGATCAGTATAAGCACATCTCTGATTAAATAATTGCTAATGCATGCAGTGGCCCAAAATTCAACAAGTATAAAAGGGCAAAAAAGTTAGTCTTTGTCTTACCTCTGTACTCCAGTGACTCAGCTCTTTTTCCTAAAGGCAACTACTATTACCAGTTTTTTTGAGTATCCTTCCAGAGATATTCTATGCATATAAAAGTATATGCATCTATACAGACACTAATACTTTTTAAACACTGCAAATGGGAGCAGTGTACACATGCTTCTGAAACTTGACTTAAAAAAAATTTTTTTTATACATTTATTTATTTATTTATTATTATTTTTTTTTTACATTTATTTATTTTTGCGACAGAGAGAGACAGAGCATGAACGGGGGAGGGGCAGAGAGAGAGGGAGACACAGAATCGGAAACAGGCTCCAGGCTCCGAGCCATCAGCCCAGAGCCCGACGCGGGGCTCGAACTCGTGGACCGCGAGATCGTGACCTGGCTGAAGTCGGACGCTCAACCGACTGCGCCACCCAGGCGCCCCTAAAAAAATTTTTTTTTTAATGTTTATTTATTTTTGAGAGAAAAAGAGAGAGAGACAGACAGACAGACAAAGCATGAGCAGGGGAGGGGCAGAGAGAAAGAATCTGAAGCAGGCTCCAGGCTCTGAGCTGTCAACACAGAGACTGATGCGGGGCTCAAACTCACCAACTGTGAGATCATGACCTGAGCTGAAGTCAGACGCTTAACCAACTGAGCCACCCAGGCGCCCCTGAAACTTGACTTTTTTTTAAGCTTAACTTAATATATCTTGGAGAGTATTCCATCATTTCTCACTGTATTGCATAAATTCCTAGAGATGGGATTTCATGGATAAAGGGTAATGCCCCAAATAAATATTTTATTTCAAATATTCATATCTTAGATTTTAGATATCTTTATTTATATTTAGGTTTCTATCAAGGACAAGCCTGATTAAGGCATGCAAATTAGTGGGGATTCTTTGTATCTTTTGTATCTGACTCATCCATACCAATCTGCTATCTATTTTTCTTTCCTTTTTTAGTGCCATTGGTGAGAAACTACTTTCACAACTAATTTTCTTTCTTTTTT